CATACTTTATTGTTAAAATATACACCAACATGTAGTCTAAATTGTTTTTTTTCTTTTGTGTTCCTACAGAGGTTATTGGAAATCTTGTAATTTTTATAAGCCTGTATCATGCATTTCTATGCTTTTTGTCACTTACAATGGAATTTTATGATTTATTTAGGAATAATTATTATATATATCCACATTTTATTACTACACCAATATTTCCATTCTAAACTGCTACTCAAGGGTGTTGTGACTCAGTTGGTTAAGCTGCCACTTGGGATACCCACATCTCGTATCAGAGTGGCAGTTTGAGTCCTGGCTTTGCCGCTTCTGATCCAGCTTTGAGCTAATGGGCCTGGGAAGCAGTAGACAGTGGCCCAGGTATTTGCATTCCTTCCTCCCAAATGGGAGATCCCAGGTAGAGTTCCAGGCTTCAGTCTTTGACCTGGCCCAGCCCTGTCTGTTGAGGGCATTTGGGTAATGAACCAGCATATGGAAAATTTCTCTTTCTCTCTCTGTCATTCTGCATTTCAAATGAATAAGTAAGTGTTAAAATAACAACAACAACAAAAAAGCTACTGTAATAGTCTCTGATATTCATCACTTTTCCATTGACAGTTTTGTTAGTATTTAGGAATATATTTTGGTTTAAATCTGCTGTGGTTGTGGGTGTTCCAGAGTGTTAGCTTTTATATTTTCAAGCTTAGGATCTTTCAATTGTGGAGTCACATGTTAGCTCTCTGCCTTTTTCCTTATATCCCCCTCCCCCACTTAGCTTCGGAAGTGTTATTTATCATTTCCTGTGTATTTGGCTCTCTCACCTTGAGGAGGATTTTTAAAAATTTTTTTTGACAGGCAGAGTGGACAGTGAGAGAGAGAGAGAAAGGTCTTCCTTTGCCGTTGGTTCACCCTCCAATGGCTGCTGCGGCCAGCGCGCTGCGGCCGGCGCATCGCGCTGATCCGATGGCAGGAGCCAGGTATTTATCAAGCACTTGGGCCATCCTCCACTGCACTCCCTGGCCACAGCAGAGAGCTGGCCTGGAAGAGGGGCAACCGGGACTAGAACCCGGTGTGCCAGCGCCGCAAGGCGGAGGATTAGCCTAGTGAGCCGTGGCGCCGGCCTATAATGAACTCTTTTTGAATGTTCTGTGACTCCTGTTTCTTAATCACTTTTATAGCCACACCCACCTAAATATTCTATCATCAACTGTCTAAAACTGAACTGTTTTATTCCTTCAAATCAGTTATTATTGGGGAATTTTCCCACTTTTATAAACCATTCTCTTTTATACTGCTTGGGATTAAAGCTATGGAATTTCCTACATTCACTCCTAAGTAAATCATGTACTACAGTCTCTCACCTCTTCTTTTGCGGTGTTGGACTCTACAGTGGTCTGTTCCAAGGCCTTCTCTGTGCTGTGGCCAAGTTATATCTCCTCACTCTTTGATCTCATTTATATCAGCAGCATTCATTTTTGTGTTGAGCAAATGTTCCAGATTCATGCTTTGTTTCTTCAGCATTTTCCTCATCTGATATCCTCCCTATTTCCTTCTCTTTAACATCCTGAGTTTAGCTCAACTCAAGTTTTGCTTATTTTACAAAGCATTTCCTTAACAAAGGAAACTGCTTTTGTAACTAGTACACATGTACCACCAGCTTGACATTTGTATACCTGTTCAGCAGACTGCTATATTTTCTGTATATATCTGTGTGTACACACACACACACACACACACACACTCCCTTTGTATCTATGGGGGATTGGTTCCAAGATACTAGCTGATTGCAAAATCTATTGACACCTGAGTCTCTTACATAAAATGGTATTTGTATATAATCCAAACATATCCTTTTGTATGTATTAAATAATCTCTAGATGACTTAATATCCCATATAATGAAAATGCTGTATAAATAATTATTATATATTGTTTAAGGAATAATGACAAGAAAATAAAAACTCAGAATATGTTCAGGACAGAATAAATTTTTACAATATTTTTTGGTTTGTATGCTTTTGCATTTTTATTAATATAGTCAGAAAAGATTTTGTGTATTTCATAGATAAAACTCTGAGGACATAACTATACTTCCCTTCCTCCCTCACCCCCCCTCCTTCTTTCCTTTTTTTTTTTCCTTTAATTTTTGCAATAACATAATTTCAACTCACAGGCATAATGTTCAACAAGTAAAAAATAGATCAGTGTTCCACAGGAGTATAGACAGGAACTAAAAACAGTAATAAAATCGTAAATTGTCAGTTTGATTCTTATACTTTTTTTGTATTCTATATTAACTAGCACATATCAGAGAAAACATAATATTTGTCTTTTGGGGACTTATTTCACTAAGCATAATGGTCTTCAGTTGCATTCATTTTGTTGAAAAAGACAGGATCTCATTCTTTTTATGGCTGAGAAGTATTCTGTAATATGTGTGTGTGTGTGTGTGTATGTATGTATGTATGTATGTATCACCTTTTCTTTATCCAGTCATCAGTTGATGGACCTCTGAGTTGATTCTATATCTTAGCAGTTGTGAATTGAGCTGCAGTGAACATGGAGGTAAAAATACCTCTTTTATATGCTGATTTCATTTCCTTTGGCTAAATTCCCAGGATGGAATGGTTGGATCATACGGTTTATCTATTTTCAGACTTCTGAGAAATCTCCATAGTTTCTTCCGTAATTGTTGTAATAGTTTACTTTCCTATCACCAATATATTAGGGTATCTTTTTCTCCATATCCTTGACAACATTTATTATTTTTTGAGTTTTGGATGATAGCCATTCTAATTGGGGTGAGATGAAACCTCATTGTGGTTTTTATTTACATTTCTCTGATGGCTAGTTATCCTGAGCATTTTTTTCATGTGTCTGTTGGCCATGTATTTTATCTTTTGAAAAATGCCTATTCGTGTCCTTTGCCCATTTCTTAACTGGTTTGTTTGTTGTTGAGTTTCTTGAGCCTTTTGTATCCTGTATATTTATCCTTTATCAGTTGCAAAGTTTGCAAATATTTTCTCCCATTCTGTCAGTTGCCTCTTTGTTGAGTGTTTCCTTTGCTGTGCAGAAGCTTCTTAACTTGATGTAACCTTGTTTTTCTAGTTTTGCTTTTATTGCTTGGGCTTCTGTAGTCTTTGCCTATCCCAGTATCTCACAGAGTTTTCCAAATGTTTTCCTCTAGTACTTTGATCCATTGTGAGTACATTTTGTATAAGGTGTAAGGTAGGGGTCTTGTTTCATACTTGCACATGTGGAGATCCAATTTTCCTAACACCATTTATTGAAGAGACTGTCCTTTCTCCAGGGAGTGGTTTAAACTTGTTTGTCAAAGATTAGTTGGTTGTAGATGTATGGATTAATTTCTGGCGTCTCTGATTTGTTCCATTGGTTCACATGTCTGTTTTTCTGCCAGTACCAGGCTGTTTTGATTATAACTGCCCAGTAATTTGGCCTGAAATCTGATATTGTGATACCAATGACTATGTTTTTGTTGTTTAAGATTGCTTTAGCTATTTGGGAATAGTTTTTGTTTTTAAAAAATTATACAAGAGGCAGGGGAGAACCATCCTGGTTAACCCCTGAAATACCCCCAATGGTGAAGGCTGGGCCAAACTGAAGCCTTGAGCCAGAAACTCAATCCAGATCTTTTACATATGTGGCAGATACTTTGACTCAAACCCAGCCACTCCAGAAACTTGACTACTAGACCAAACTTCCTCCCTTCCTCCGTTTCTTTCATCCTTAGTTCCTTCCTTCCTTTTGTTATTTACATATTTTAATTTTTAAGCATAAATTGTTTTATTTGAAAGCCAGAGATCTGCCATCTGCTGTTCCACTTTCTAAGTGTCTTCAATAGTTGGGGATGGACCAGGCTGAAGTTAGGAACTCAGAAGTCAGTCCTGTCTCATGCTTTGGTGGCAGGAACCCACATCCTTGAACCATATTATATTGCCTCCCAGGGTGAGTATTAGCAGAAAGTTGGAATTGGGAGTGGGGCCATGATCTGAACCCAGGCACTCTGCTGTGGAATGCAAGTGCCCAACCCATATCTTAACCACTGAGCCAAACACACACTCTCCTGCATCTTTTTCTGGAATATTTTTAACCCATGATTGGTTGAATCTATGAATGTACAACCCATGAATAAGGAGATTTGACTGTGTTTGTGTATGTGTGCATGGGTGTGCGTGCGTGTGTGTGTGTGTGTTCTAAAACCATGTTCTGTTTTGCAGTTAATCTTTGAACTGCTTTGAAGTCAGGCATGACTGAGAGTACAGGATAGGAATAGCTGATAAAGATAAAAAAGGCAGTGGCTACCAGAAAGCTGTGTCTGTGAAAATAGTCAAGATTTGTCTTTTGTGTGTGTGTGTATCAGAGCTCTAGTATGTTACGTAGTTCCTTTTTCTTTATCAGTGACATGATGTTAAAGTATTGTGTTTTCAAAAAGTCAAAAACTTTTATATAATTTATTCTGTGCTTTGTTTAATTAACTACATTTTGGTTTTGCTTAAATTTTACATAATTAGTTTTAGTTCCTCTCAAATTAGGGCAATAGTGTTTAATGCATGTGATAAATCTGCAGAGAAATTATATTAGATTGTGAGTCAGGAACATGCTATTTCTAGACACTGCTATAGTTTATAAACTCTTAGACATGCCCCTTAAGGTCATTGAGCCTCAGTTTCTTAATCTGTAGAAGTTTCAAGTAAATAAACTTTGAAATGTGTTTCTAGGCCTAAATATGTACCATATTCACATTCACATCACAGTAAGTATTTACCCTCTTCTATTTTTTTAAATTTTAGCTTACTTATTTCATTCTCAACTCTTGTATTAACTAAGTTTTATTGTCATATTTTCCTTTAGGATTCCTGATTTAGGATTAGTCATTACCGCTTTATTTGTTCAGTTCTGCTGGACCTAGTGTTGTTTTCACAACCAGCATCCATTAAAGTTTGAAGAAGATGAATTAACTTGATTGCAATTTACTTGCTTAGTTTTCTTTTTAAGGTATTTTCAAAAGAAACAATTCCAGACTGATGGATGAAATTTTAAAACAGCAACAGGAACTTCTGGGCCTGGATTGTTCCAAATACTCAACAGAGTTTGCAAATAGTAATGACAAAGATGATCAAGGTAAGCATGAATGTAAAATTGAATATGCAGCATATGAAGTTAGGTGTTTTACAATTCAAAGCAAGTCTGTTACTCAGTCCTTTATTCGTTCATTTTGCCCTGTTAGTCTTGTTCTCAGTATCTTTACTTAATTTTTATGTATTTATTTATGTATTTGAGCTGTAGAGAGAGACAGACTCTCATCTGTTCTCATCTAGTGGTTCACTCCCTAAATATCCATAACAGCCAGGACTGGGCCACAGTGAAGTCAGGAGTCAGAAACTCAGTTCAGTTCTCCCTCCTGAGCTATCACCTGATGCCTTCCAGGGTCTTTATTAGTAGGAAGCTGGAATCAGCAGTGGAGTTAGAACTCAAACCCAGACAGTCCCATATGGGATGCAGATGTCTCAATTGGCATCTTCACTGCTAGTCCAGACTCCCCACCAGTCTCAACATCTTTAGTCATCAGATTGAGACTTTTTCTCCTTTATCTTATTAAAAGATAATCAGAAAAAGATAAAATAATAACTCATGTAAATATTAAAAAGTGAACACATGATAAAGATTTTATTTAATTGGGCAGATTTTTTTATAACTCATTCAACAGATAATCCAAAGAACAGTCACGTTTATACATCAGGAAATAGAGTGAATATCTAAGTAGAGACAAAACTGGTTTTCCTGTGAGATGAGAGGAAAGATAATTGAACCTCTACCTGACAGGAAAGATAGTGCATTTTTATAGAAAAGAATTTTACATTATTATCAGTTCTTTAGAGTTCTGTCAATTGCAATATAGATCCCAGAGAATCAGAAATAGATAATGAATATGTGTGTATGTGTACACTCTAGACAATGCATACATTCTCCACTGAAACACAATTTTTTCTACAATCTTTATTTTTTCTTTTATTCTGTATATTACTGTTAATTTTGCAATGATTGTAGATGGAATTTTAGGTGAGTAAAAGTCATCTACCTTATAATTAAATCTTCTATTTTCTGGAGAATTTAGCCACAATAAAAGGTCCTCTTGAGCCCTTTGAAAATAAGACAGTATGAAAATATATACATAAATGTGATTTGGGGTGCATCTGGCCTTTGAAAGGAGAATAGTTAAGTACATTTGATACTGAAATTGAAGGGTTTAAGTGATTCTTTACTGTAAGAACTTTCAAAACCTTAACTGTTTCTTTTAAAACTGGTTTTGACATATTTGGAAGAGAGTGTTTTTAAAAATAAATTTGTTTGTTTTTTCCTCCAGTTTTAAATTGCCATTCAGCAGTGAAGGTGCTGTCCCCAGAAGATGGAAAAGCAGATATTGTGAGAGCTGCTCAGGACTTTTGCCAGTTAGTAGCCCAGCAGCAAAAGAAATCCACAGATTTGGATGTAGATATGTTAGACAGTTTACTTAGTAAGTCATGTATGTGTATGTGTGTGTGTACATTTTAAATTTTATAACATAAAGATACAGTATGAAAGAAATATTAAGATCCTTTTATACTATAACATTTGATTTTGTTGTTGCTGTACTCTTCATACTTCTGAAATTTAAAGACCCACATGTAAAATGGTTTTGGGATAATGTAATTGTGGTCAGCTTACTTGTGTGAGGATTTCATGGTAAAGGAAAAGCCAGCCTGCCTGCCTGCCTGCCTTCCTTCTTTCCTTGAACTTCCTTTCCTTCTTTCCTTCTTTTTCCTTCTCTTTATTTTCTTTATTTTTGCAGTAAGGAGCATTCTTTTTTTTTTTTTTTTTTTTTTTTTTTCGGCCAGGCTGGACAGTGAGAGAGAGGAAGAGAGAGGGAGAGACAGAGAGAAAGGTCTTCCTTTGCTGTTGGTTCACCCTCCAGTGGCCGCCCCGGCCGGCGCACCGCGCTGATCCGAAGGCAGGAGCCAGGTGCTTCTCCTGGTCTCCCAAATGGTGCAGGGCCCAAGCACCTGGGCCATCCTCCACTGTACTTCCGGGCCATAGCAGAGAGCTGGCCTGGAAGGGGGGCAACCGGGACAGAATCCGGCACCCCGACCGGGACTAGAACCTGGTGTGCCGGCGCCGCTAGGTGGAGGATTAGCCTATTGAGCTGCAGCGCCAGCCAGGAGTATTCTTAAAAATAGGACTTCTGTTAGCCTTTGTCTGTCTCAACCCCCTTTTTAGTTTGAACTTTCTAACAGGTTTGAACTTAACAACTTTTTGTGAGGCACTCCCAAGAATATAATCTTAGCATACATGACTCCTTTTTAAGTGTTTCTTTTTTTCTATTATGCTGTACCAAATATACTCCCCTGAATTTGGCATGTCATACCAAATATAGCTTTTTTTCCTTCAACTATTTATAAAGCCTTTTGTGTACTTACTCTTTCTAGAGCCTGTCCAGGAACTTTTAACTTCATGGTCCTTCTGCTTTCAAGCATTATCTTGAACCTTTTGCAGAAAAGGAGTCTCTCTAGCAAAGTCAAGTTCATGGATATCTTCTATAGCCATATGATCTCAGACATTGGTTTTTGTTCATTTACATAGACCCTCCATTTACCTTATTAATCATGCATTTTCTGTATCAGTTATTTACATAACTCTTCATTCTTTGACTCTTTTACTTTGGCGTGTCGATCATGGAACACAGATTCTGGCCTCTTAGTCTTACTAACTTCGTACTTTCACTGACTACTCCTTCCTTTACTCTTGTGTTCTTTACTCTGATGTTGTCTGTGTTCAGGCTTGCTGAGTGTAAAAGATTGTGTGGGCACTCTTACTAGAGATTACTGAGATGTTGACTGTTTCTTGGACTCTGTGAAGCCCCGGAGTGATTTATGAAGACATTCGAAAAGGTGGCCTGGAGCCCAAAGGTAGCCTTTAGATAGCCCATGGAAAAGAGCTGAAGTGTTGTACCCAGGTTTTGCTTCAGGGCTTGTAAATTCACAATAAATGAAATTAAGCCCAGTCCTTACATTAACTCATTAATCTGGGAGAAGCAAACACTCTACCATCACCCCAAAAAGTTCCCTTGTACTGCATTGGGTCCCCACATTGGTTGGTTGTCTTTCTGGAGATACTTTTGCCTTTTATAGAAATTTTATATCAAAGGAATCATATTATAGATAATCTTTTATGTCTTACTTTGTTAGCATAATAATTTTGAGGTTCATCAATGTTGAATGTCTTAATTTATTACTTTTGTTAATAGGAAGTAGTCTATTTTATGGATAGACCACAATTTGTTTACTCATTCTTCAGTTGATGCACATTTTATTTGTTTCCAGTTGTTGTTTTTTTTTAAGATTTACTTATTTACTTGAAAGGCAAAGTTACACAGAGGGAAGGAGCGAGAGAGAAAGAAAGAGTGAGATTTCCCATCTGCTGGTTCACTCTCCCAAATTGCTGCAAGGACCAGGGTGGAGCAGGCTAAAGCCAGGAACCTGGACCTCCATCCAGGTCTCCCACATGGTTGACAGGGCCCAAGTACTTGGGCCATCTTCTCTGCTTTCCAGACACATCAACAGAGAGCCTGACTAGAAGTGGAACAGCTGGGACTCGAACCAGTACCCATATAGGATGCCAGCATCACAGGGGTGGCTTAACCTGGTTTACCACAGTGCTGCCCATTTCCAATTTTTGAATAACATTGCTGTGCTGTGACTGTGTGCAAGTCTTTGTGTGGACATGTTTCTTTCTCTTATTGGATAGATATTTAATAGTGGGGTTTCTGTGTCGTATGGAAGTGAATGTTTAATTTTTTAAGAAACCACCAAACTTTTTCAAATACGCTCTACATTTTACACCCCACTTGCAACGTAAATGGTTCTAGATTTTCCATGACCTTACAAAGACATGGTACTGTCAGTTTTTTGGTTTATTTTCAGCCATTCTAGTGGATGTGTTGTAGTATTTTGTTATTTTAATTCACATTTTCTTAATGAATAATGGTATTGAGCATTTTGCACGTGTTAATTTGTCATCTATATCTTTCATTAAGTATCGACACGTTTTGCCTATTTTTAAGTAGTCATTTTTCTTGTTATTGAGTTTTAAGAAGTTTTTATATGTTCTGGATACAAATCATTTACCAGTAGTAAGATACTTACTTCACAAATAGTTTGTCCCAGTCCATCCCTTTTTGTTTGTTTTACTAATGGCTTCTTTTAAAGTGTTTAATTTTTATGAATTATGTCAAGGTGTTTTTTTTTCCTTTTATAGATCATGAATTTATTGTCCTTTCTAAGAGATCCTTGCCTAATCTGAAGTCATAGTAATTTTCTCTTGTGTTTTCTGCTAGAAGTTTTATAGCTTTAGCTGTTATTTTTAGGCTTATAATCCATTTTGATTTAACTCCTAAATAGTGTGAGGTATTATTTGCTGAGAAGACTGTCTTTTACTGTTTGAATTATTATGGTTCTTTGTTGAAAATCAATTGTCAGGCCGGCGCCATGGCTCACTAGGCTGATCTTCCGCCTTGCGGCTCCGGCACACTGGGTTCTAGCCCCGGTCGGAGCGCCGGATTCTGTCCCAGTTGCCCCTCTTCCAGGCCAGCTCTCTGCTGTGGCCAGGGAGTGCAGTGGAGGATGGCCCAAGTGCTTGGGCCCTGCACCCACATGGGAGACCAGGAGAAGCACCTGGCTCCTGCCATCCGATCAGCGCGGTGCACCGGCCGCAGCGTGCCAGCCGCGGCGGCCATTGGAGGGTGAACCAATGGCAAAGGAAGACCTTTCTCTCTGTCTCTCTCTCTCCCTGTCCACTCTGCCTGTCAAAAAATAAATAAATAAATAAACAAGTAAGTAAGTAAAAAAAAAAGAAAAAAGAAAATCAAAACTATGGATTTTCACTGTAGCACTTTCCCTTCCTCCCACAACCTCTTGTTTTAAATAGAGGCTTTTGGGGGGGGGGGGGCAGCAACCAGCAAATCTGTTTTTTGTGGTCAGCCACATCCTGGTAGAACTAAGTTTCTCTCCAGTTGATTAAAGGTAGAGGTGTTGAGATCAAGAGCAGTCAACTAAGAAGGTTGAGGACTCTTGTCATTCTTATCATTTTTTATTTATTTTTTTTAATACTTATATATTTGGCAGAGTGTCAAAGAGAAAGTGAGAGAAAGAGAGAGAGAAGGAGAGATCAATTTATATAGTTGCTGGTTAACTCCAAATGTCCACAGTAGCCATGGCTTAGCCAGGCTGGAGCCAAGAGCCAGGAACTCCATCCAGGTCTTCCACATGGGTGGCAAGACCCAAAGTAATTAGATCATCTTTCACTGCCTTTCTTGGTGTGTAGCAGGAAGCTGATTTGGAAGCTAAGCGATTGGGGCTCAAACCAGCACTTTAGTATGGTATGCTATGTTCCAAGTGGCAGCTTAACCTGCTGTATGACAATGCTGGCTCTACTCTTCTTGCCATTTTTACCAGAAATTCCAGCTGGTTTTTGGTTTTTAAAGCAATCTGCCAAGGATCAGACTGCCATTGAATGCTTGATTTTGTTTAAATTTTTTTTTTTTTAATTTGACAGAGTTAGACATTGAAAGAGACAGAGAGAAAGGTTTTCCTTCCATTGGTTCACCCCCCAAAATGTCTTCTACGGCCAGCGCTGCGCCGATCCAAAGCCAGGAGATAGGTGCTTCTTCCTGGTCTCCCATGGGGGTGCAGGGGCCCAAGCACCTGGGCCATCCTCCACTCTGCCTTCCCTGGGCCACAGCAGAGAGCTGGATGGGAAGAGGAGCAACCAGGACTAGAAGCCGGCGCCCATATGGGATTTCGGTGCTACAGGTGGAGGATTAATCAAGTGAACCATGGCGTCTCCCCCGATTTTGTTTAGTTTAATACATGTCTCTCATGGAGAAGATTTGTCTCTCTCTTCACTTTGCTGTTATCAGGAGTTCCTTTTTGTCATTTTTTATTGCAGAGGATTGCATTTTGGTTAGCTGAGCAATATGTGTTCTTCTGCTTAGTCCATCCACTCTGAAAACATACATTTTTAAAGGGAATTGTTCTGGAAATAATTCTTCACTATTACTACTAGATAAGTCCGCCTAATCTGGTATCTTTATTCTACAAGTGAGGGAATTTACCCTAGGAGAGATTATGTGATAAGCAAGTTAGTAGTAGAACTGAGGATATTTGGAACTGTTAGGAACTGGGTCTACTGGATTGTAGTAACTTTTCTGTTATGCTAGTGACCTTTCAAACTTCATTTTTAAGCAAATAAAACATCCCTATCCCTTTTTTTCTTGTTTTATATTTTCAAACTGTCATACTTTTAAGCCAGGTCTCATGTGGAAATTGGCTCATAAAACAGACAAAAAATGGATGTGTACCTGTTGTATAGTCTGTTTTTGCTCTCTGAGCTGGCTCAGGCTCTGAGGAACACTGAAAACATTTGTGCTGTACTGCTAGGAGTTGGTCTTTCTGGGGCCATGAGGAAAGAGAATAGAGACTTTTTAAGTTCTTTTTCATCTCTGAAGTTATTTGATTTCTGTAGGCAGAATCAACAGTTGTGCCTTTAGATCAGTGTCTTTCCCAGGCTGCTGAGAAAACGCATGAATTGAGTGTTGAAAGGAGGGGATTTGGGGATTTAGAGTGGGAGTTTATCCCTTGTTGACAGGTAATCAGAAAACTTCCATATTTGGAATGAACATGAATATTAAAGTATATGAACCTCTGGCCGGCACCGCGGCTCACTAGGCTAATCCTCCGCCTTGCAGCGCCGGCACACCGGGTTCTAGTCCCTGTCGGGGCGCCGGATTCTGTCCCAGTTGCCCCTCTTCCAGGCCAGCTCTCTGCTGTGGCCAGGGAGTGCAGTGGAGGATGGCCCAAGTGCTTGGGCCCTGCACCCCATGGGAGACCAGGAGAAGCACCTGGCTCCTGCCTTCGGATCAGCGCGGTGCGCCGGCCGTGGCAGCCATTGGAAGGTGAACCAAAGGCAAAGGAAGACCTTTTTCTCTGTCTCTCTCACTGTCCACTCTGCCTGTCAAAAAAAAAACAAAAAAACAACAAAAAGTATATGAATTTCTGAAGAGAATAGATACTTAAGGCACAAGAAACCAATTGTATTAAAAGATTCTGCCTTTCGTCATTTTTGTTGTAAGCAATGCGTGTTAAATTCATGTGTATTTCTTTTTTTCCAAGGTTCAAATGGTTTCCCTGATCCTGATTTAGTACTGAAGTTTGGTCCTGTGGACAGCACATTAGGCTTTCTTCCCTGGCACATCAGATTGACTGAGATTGTGTAAGTAATTAAAAGTATTCAGTTCCACAAAATCAAATTATAATACTGGATCCTTTATGTCAGATATTTTACATTATTAGTGGTAAGATAAAGACACACATAAATGAGTTTAGAGCCAAGAGAGTGTATATACAGATGTGTTGTGTATGTACATTTTGTATTGACACTAACTAGCATAAGAGATCAGGAGTGAGGGATACCTCTGTGGCTTGGAGTTGTTGATTCTACAGAAAAGATATGACTAAATCCAGGGTATATATAATCTGTAGAATTTCTGTGGGGAGCAACCAAGACTAGACTAAATTACTGGAACTGCTAGGACTAATTCTGTGCATCTGATCTCCCACCATATGGCGCTGAGAGGGAATAAACAACTTCCACACAGCTGCCTCACCAATTCGACTAACAAGCTGCAGGAGTTGATCCTGCCCCTGATTGGAGGAGAGCAGTGTGCTCAGCGCGTGGGGAGAGAACGCCAGGAGAGTTGGGATTGGTGGAAGAGGACTATAAAGGAGGAGAGAGACAACATGCACCAGGAACATCTGAGCAACCCCTGAGAGAGCCGGCCGGCAGTGTGCCGCCCCTCCACGGAGGCGGGGGGTGGGGGGGGCAGCAAACATGGGAAGGGCCAGGGAAAAAGAACAGCGCAGGGTCTGGTGTCGTTCCTCCGCGAGTGGGGGAGCGACAATTTCTGTCCTTAGAAAAAACATGGGAAGTATAGGAAGTGGGAATGGGGATAAAAAGAGCTGTGGCAGGACCCAGTGCTGTGGTACACAGAGGGTTAAGCTGTGGCCATCAAAACTGCAATTCTGTATCAGAGCACTTGTTCAAGTCTAGACTGCTCAGCTTCTGATCCAGTTTCCTGCTATTGTATCTGGGAAAGTGGTAGAAGACAGCCCAAATACTTGGACACCTGCCACCCATGTAGGAGGCTTGGATGGAGTTCCAGGCTTCTGGTTTCATCCTAGCCCAGCTCTGGCCATTGTGGCCATTTGGAGAATGAACCAGTGGGTGGAAGATCTCTTTGTATCTGTCTCTGTCACTCTGCCTTTCAAAAAAATGAAATAAAACTTGCATTTAGAAGAAATAGCCACGTAAGAGAAGAGAGTCAGCATTAGGTAATACTGTGAAATGAAACCAGATAGTCTGGGGTCGGGCAGAGATCAAAGTTTCTTAAAGGCCAGCATAAGGAATGTGTATAGCAGTAGAGAGGTGGTAGGAAACTGCTGAGCCTGTGGGTAACGGAAATGATGATTTTGGAAGATGTTTGGAAGCTACAAACTGTAGTGGATTGGATTTGAAAAAGGGATGTAGTAAAAAGACAAAAGCTTCATTACTAATTTATGGGAGAATACAGTGAAGAGAATAAAATCGCCTATTTAGTACAGCATTTGGCACATATACTCTGTAAAGGCTCAGATAATAAACTTTTTGGGATTTGCAGGCCATATAGTATCTTGCAACTGTTCCTCTCTGTTCCAACTACTTTTACTTGGCTAGCAAAACTAAACTACTGTAAGACAAATGAGCATAATTATGTTCTAATAAAAACTGTTTACAAAAACATGTAGCAGGCACATGTATTTGCCAACCTCAAATTTAGAATAACAGAGAGACTGAGTATCCTTAAATTATATTTAAGTCCTGGGTCTTACAAGGAAAATATTGCAGATTTTATCTGTCTTAAATATTTACATTGCAAGTATGTTTGTGGGGCTGAGTATTTTACTAATTTTGATGAAAGTTAGATAAGAAATGAAATGACTCCTAAGCTTTGGTGTTTTTTTTTTTTTTTTTTTTTTTTTGACAGGCAGAGTGGACAGTGAGAGAGAGAGACAGAGAGAAAGGTCTTCCTTTGCCGTTGGTTCACCCTCCAATGGCCGTCGCGGCTGGCGCACTGCGCTGATCTGAAGGCAGGAGTCAGGTGCTTCTCCTGGTCTCTCCTAAGTTTTTAAGCCTAATGGACTGGTTAAATTTTAGTGTTAAGAGAAAATCAGGCTGGTGCCGTGGCTCACTAGGCTAATCCTCCCGCTGCGCGCGGCACACGGTTCTAGTTCAGGTCAGGTGCGATCTGTCTGATGCCTCTCAGTCAGTCTCTGCTATGGCCAGGAGGGCAGGAGGATGGCCCAAGTGCTTGGGCCCTGCACCCGCATGGGAGCCCAAGAGAAGCACCTGGCTCCTGCCTTTGGATCAGCGCAGTGCGCCAGCTGCAGTGCACCGGCCACGGCAGCCATTGGAGGGTGAACCAACAGTAAAAGGAAGACTTCCTCTCTGTCTCTCTCTCTCACTGTCCACCCTGCCTGTCAAAAAAAAGAAAAAAAAAGAGAAAATCAGAAATATATAATATCAAAATCAGGAATGTAATATGCATATTATTTTTATATGTATGATTTGTTTATTTATTTGAAAGGCAAAACAGAGAGAGAAGGTATAGAGAGAAAGAGATCTTCCATCTACTGGTTCACTCCTGAAATGCCCTGAACAGCCATGGCTGGACCAGGCCAAAGCTAGGAGTCAGGGATTCCATCTGGTTCCACATGTGGGTGGCAGGGGCTCAAGTACTTGTGCCATCATCTGTTGTTTTCCTAGGCACATTAGCAGGAAGCTGGTTCAGAAGAGAAACAGCCAAGACTCCAACTGGCACTCCTATAAGGGAAACTTGTGTTATAAGCAGTGGCTTATCCCACTGCACCAGAGCACTAGCTCCTGGGAACATGTATTTTTGACAGGAAGATATAGATGATTTTGAAGTTTTAATCTATTTTGATGGAAACACTTGGTAGGACAGAGGCAGATGTAGAATTGATGCTTGCATGAGAAATCAAAGCTAAAGATGTATATTTGGGGATGATCAGTATCTGGGAGATATTTGAACCGGTAATAATAGAGGTTCCTCTTCACTGTGTACAGAGGGGTCCTTTAAGAAGTATTTAAGGGGCCGGTGCTGTGGCCCATCGGGTTAATGCACTGTCCTGAAGTGCCGGCATCCCATATGGGCACCAGTTCGAGTCCCCGTTGCTTCATTTCCGATCCATCTCTCTACTGTAGCCTGGGAAAGCTGTAGAAGATGGCTCAGGTCCTTGGGCCCCCGCACCTGCGTGGGAGACCTGGAAGAAGCTCCTGGCTCCTGGCTTCAGATCGGCACAGCTCTGGACATTGGGGTCAATTGGGGAGTGAACCAGTAGATGCAAGATCTCTCTCTCTCTGCCTCTCTCTCTGTGTAACTCTGACTTTCAAATAAATAAATAAATAAAAAGAAGTAATTAAAGGGGCTGGCCCTGAGGCATAGTGGGTTAAGCCACCGCCTGCAACACCAGCATCCCATTGGTTTGAGTTCTAGTTGCTTCTGGCTAATACACCTGGGAAAGCAGTCAATCGGCACAGCTCTAGCCATTGCAGCCAATCGGGGAGTGAACCATCGGATGGAAGACCTCTCTCTCTCCTGTCCTCTCTCTGTAACTCTGACTTTCAGAGAGAGAGAGAAAGAGAGAGAGATAGAGATAGGAGGGAAGGAAGGAGGGAAGGAAGGAAGGGAGGAGTAATTTAAGGGGCTGGCCCTGTGGCATAGTGGGTTAAGCCATCGCCTGCAACACCAGGATCCCATTGGTTTGAGTCTTAATTGCTTCCTGCTAATACACCTGGGAAAGCAATCGTAGATGGCCCAAGTGCTTGGGCCCCTGCACTCACCTGGGAGACCAGGATGAAGCTCCTGGCTCCTGTCTTCAGCCTGGCTCAGCGCTGGCTGTTGTAGCCATTTGGGGAGTGAACCAGTGGGTGGAAGACTCTCTCTGTGTGCCTCTGCCTCTCCTCTCTCTAACTTGACCCTTCAAATAAATAAATAAGTCCTTTTTTTTTTTTTTTTTTTGCAGGCAGAGTTAGACAGTGAGAGAAAGAGATAGAGAGAAAGGTCTTCCTTCCGTTGCTTCACCCCCACAAATAGCCGCTACGGCTGGCGCGCTGCGCTGATCTGAAGCCAGGAGCCAGGTGCTTCCTCCTGGTCTCCCATGTGGGTGCAGGGCCCAAGCACTTGGGTCATCCTCCACTGCCTTCCCAGGCCGCAGCAGAGAGCGGGACTGGAAGCGGAGCAACCGGGATAAAATCCGACACCTTAACTGATACTAGAACCCAGAGTATCAGTGCCGCAGGTGGAGGATTAGCCTAGTGAGCCACGGCACCGGCCATAAATAAATCTTTAAAAAAAGGGGGGGGTGATCAATTCACATTTGCAATCAAGTGGGAGAAAAAGTGTTAAATAAAGGGACAGAAGAGCGCACATAGTGTGTTAGAGTAGGAAATTATTGTAAATCATCTGGTGTTCTGTACTCATTTTGTAGGGCATGAAAATGGGGAAGAGATATTGTTCAAGCTTGTAATAAAGTAGAATCAAGATTCTGGATGTCCTTACAGAGAATATATATTTCTCTTCTCCATTTTTCTCAGGGGTTTCCCAAGTCATTTCAGCTGCCTTTCCTGTAGGCTGAGAGAGTGACAGAAGAGATACCTTGTGAAATGGGGAATATGTGCAATTTGGCTACATAGCTCAACAGCGTTGCTCTAGAAAGTTATTTAAACTTCTCTGTTTTATAAAGTGGACGCTTGAATGTGGAGTTGAGGATTTAAACCTGAAAGTGGAAATGATACCTAGCTCTTAAGTGTATGCATCATCTATCATAGCTCTGCCTCTTATGCTGAGGTATGCCCTTCACTACACAGCACCGTGATGACAGGGAAAATGTCTCACTCCACACAGAAGCATTAAGGGCAGGGCCCTTAGTGGACAAACTGGGAAATGGCAAAATGGCTTCTGAGGCACAAAACAGTAGTGGCACTCAGTGCTTCTTGAAGAGGGAGAAGAAGTGAGGCTGTTGGTAATGGGGGTCAAATGAGGAAGAGTTAGGAAAGTGGGGAGTTTGAGGAGGACATTTGAAGCAAGCTTGAGCGAGAAGAATGTCATTAAAGGCATCCTCTGGGGAAACCATTTCAGTAGAGTAAGTAAAACATGGATGGGTGGCAGAGGGTGTTCAGGGTGACCGGGGAGTAGAGGGAAGTGAGTGACTTGTTTGAGAATTTCTGGTAATCAGAGGAAGGATGCAGAAGAGCATACCTAAAGAACACGCCAGGTCAGACAGGAGTTCTTTCATGGTAGGTTTGTTCAGTTCCCATTTTGGTGGTACGTGTGACTCCTGTATGCTGACCAGAAGTTTCACTTTGACAGTCTTTGGGATTGTCGAACCTTGTTATAAAGCTGTATAAATTAAATATTTTTTAAGCACTAATTATTAAAGGCTTAAGTAGTAAAATACTTCCAGGAGTGCCCGCTGGTGTGCTGTTGCCTGTGTGTTTATAGTGCATGTCTTCATGTTGTAATTGCCCCCTGAGCAGTTGGAAGTAGACATCCATGTCTACTTATTGGTTGCTCACACGTGGCTTCAGTGTGTTATCATGTGGGGAATACTGAGGAGCTGTGCCCGGCGTTAAGCTTGACTTAAATATAAATCAGAATTGGCTTTACTCAGACCAGGCGGCATTCTTAAAAGTGGATGTGTGTTCCTTTGCATTAATCTAGGCTTATTTTTTAATCGGTTGTGAATCTAACTTGTTTTTCTTTTCTTATGGAAAGAAGGGCAAGTTTAATTTTCATTGGAACTGTTTCATAGTGAGCTTAGCAAACTTTTAGTGGAAATAATTTGACATATCCTGCTTATAATTTGTATTTCTTCTGTCATTATCCTCTGGTTCTCTTCGCCAAATGACAGTATCAACTAATTACTTTTTTTCTCCCATGTGCTTTATTTTCAGCTCTTTGCCTTCCCACCTAAACATCAGTTATGAGGACTTTTTCTCTGCCCTTCGTCAATATGCAGCCTGCGAACAACGTCTGGGAAAGTAATCATCCCTGGTTGTGTAATTTGATTTCAGGCTTTTGGAGGAAAGGACCCAAGTGACTCTGATGTTTACAAAGCACCTATGAGACCTGTATACACCTAGTTCATACCCTCATAATTTATCAACACATACAAAAAGTGTCTTACTTGAGAGCGAGTGAGTGTGTGTGTGTGTGTGTATGCACGTGTGTATGTATGGAATAAACTTATAAATGGGAGAAGTATTGGAGAAGGAAATATGTAGACCTGCAACTTTGTGCAAATAACAACGATGTTTTAGGAGCTGAAATTCCAGATATAAAGACTTCAGCCTCTATTACTTCCCTGTTTTTGTGGGGAGAAGAGGAGGTGACTAGAATAGTCTTGGTTGTTGTTTGGGGAGAAGGGAGTAATTTTTGTTCAGTCTTTCCTAGTGACCAAACTTTCATTTTTAAGACTAATATATTGCTTATTAAGTGGAAGTATTCTGAATTTGAGGGTACTTCAGAGGAGTGGAGTCCTGTGTTGCTCACATGATAAAAACTCTCGCCGTCAAAGCAGAGGGAATACCTACCTTCATATATCCGTCCATTTTCATTTCTTACTTCATTATATTCAGACAGGGTGACCTGAAAGTGTCCTCTGGTATCTCTTACCTGGTGTCTGAGTTGTGAAGATCATTTGAAAAAGAATTCTTACTACACTGAAATTTAAGTATTGAATTAAGCAGTCAAAAAAAAAAAAAAAGGTGAATAAGTTGTAATGTTACAGTGAAGATAGAAAATTTCCTTAAAGAGGAAGGACAGTTTTGATTTTCTTTTTTGTTGGTGGGTAATATACTATCTAGTACCCAGAGTTGGTTTTAAGAATGTTTCCATTAACTGTTTTTTATTTAAAATAAGCATTTGAGTGAAGTGAGCAAGCAGCTCTTTTCCTCAAAAGTAACCTGTTTCTTTATGGAATAACACCCAGGAATTTATTCAGTAAATCCCAATGGTGACTTTGCATAAAAGACCTTTAAATAGGATTAAGACCTATATGGTAAAGAAAATGTTACCAAAGTCTACAAAAATATTTAATTTTACACGTTCTCTTTTATGACAGAGAACAGCACTGGTTCTGTTATTTTGGAAATAAATAAATGATTTCTTGATAGGTGTTTGATATTTCTCCCTCACTGCTGATCCTTGGTGAGGAACCCTTCTTTATATTGATGAACTATTTTCAGAAAACTCTGATCAGCACGTGTACAATTAGCTTTCTAAAATTGTACATTCAGAATGGAGTAGTCTAAATGTGAGGTCTCAAATCTGGAAAAATAGGGAAGAAGACTGGATTTGGGAAGCATGGTCTGAAATTGCTTGAATTCTAAAGTTATGAAGAATAAAGATTTCAGCTTTGGATTACAGAACCCCATTTATGATTTAAAAGTACACTTGAAATAAAAGTGATTAAACTGAATTTTGGTCCAGTGATGTTACTTTACATTTCATAGTCTTTTTGTACACTATAAGGCCTTTTTTTTTAAAGTCTTAATTTATTGCAAAAATTTTTGTGTAAAGCTACAGCATATCTAAACTGTATCAGAGAATTCCTCGTTTCTGTTCCCCCAGACTGGCCCATTTTCTATTGAATATTTTTTTTGCTTTGTTTAGTTTAAGACTAAATTTATTTATTCTTAACATGATAGATATAAATGTCTCAAACATTCTGAAATATCTGCAGCTTTAATGAATTAAATGTAATGAGCCTAATTGAAGTGAAAGGATTTAATATTTGTCAAACTGAAGTTATTAGTCAAATGAATTACTCGTTGGGATATAGTACAAGATTCTAAAGGTTTAATATTTAATTTTTTTTGTACTTTTCTCCTTCCATTTCATAACATTGTAGACATCCATGTAGATCTGTAGCCCAGGGCCTGAGTCTCTTGTAGCCCTGGAAAGGGACCTTAAAACAAGTTACTAAGGGTTTTGAATTCAGACATAGTCATTTCAGAACCTTGTATGGGCTCAACTGCTAGTACAATCTCTGTAACTTGAAAGACATTGGTCATTCTAGAATTCCTGCCAAATCATTAGAAACTATGCATTGTCAAGGCTCCCTTTGTACTCCCAAAAAGAATTGATGATTTTCAAGAGAGATACGTGTGTCTTCATGTGCATTGAAGGATACTGTCTTTAAGTGGTTTCTTCTTAACACCCCCCATAATGGAAAAATTACCAGATTAAACCTACTTTATGGATGGCAGCTTGGAGTATAGCAAGAAGTTAGAGGATTTCAACTCCATTCCCAATTCTGGTTGTATTTTCTTGAAAGTAATTGATTACTGTTAGAAAGTGTAAAAGCTGGTTTTTAATGTGAATAGCAAATTCTGGCATATTGTGACTAAGACGTAAGAATGCCCATCTCAGAGAGGAAAATATATTCATGAACAGTGCCAAATACACTGTGCATAACTATGATCTCTGAATGTATAGTACTTAGTTTCCTCCTTTGTGATGGTACCATGCACATAGTCAGTAAAATCCTTGTGATGTTTTATATGGCTGTAGACTTTGGCAACATGTAAATAATGTGTACAGTGAGTTTTTATGATTAAGGAATCAAATTTATTGAATTTTATTATTGAAAATTGAAACAACATGTATGAACAAGAACAATAAAAGAATATACTCTTTTCATGGACTATAGTATTATGTGAATGCTACATTCTGGACATTTAGGGGCTACATAAATGTAATAAAAACCTCCAATGGCTAGACAGCAATACTAATTTTTAGACAGTATGCCCTTACTGAAATATATTCTCATTTTTACCAGTTTAAACATTTGAAATATTCCATCTTTTTGTTAGATAATAGTAAAATTCAGCTTTATCATTATAGTTGTCAAAAATTCCACATTAATTAAAATTGGAATTGATTTTTACTGAATACAGAATTGCTAAATTAAAAATGTATATGTGTATCCTTTAAAAAACGAATTGGTAGTTCTCAAACCAGAAAATTGAAAGGCAAGCTGTGGTTTGTCTTATGGTGCAAACAGTTTTCAGTTTCTGACTTGAAGCTCTAATTATAAGACCATTGACTTTTTGTGCATAATTTTCATCTAAAATCAGGCTTATCAAAGATCATATTTTAAATGCATCACCAAAAATTACTGTAGTAGAAATTTAGGATAGTTTGAAATAAAAGCCAGAAAGTAAGATTTGTGTCAATAGTTGTGTCAAATCCTAGTTGATAGGCCATAAACTATAATAAATTCAGGAGAACGAGGGAGTACAAAAAGTTTGCTTATGGTTTGAAATATACATATGAATTATAGGAAAAAAGGATTCAGCTAAGCAAATATAAAGGAAACCTCATTGAATACATTTTTGGTGACAATCCTTACAGAAATTTTTTTGTACTTTGATTTTAAAAAATGTATCCTGTAACAAGTTTAATAAAGAGATTCTCTTTAAGTTATAAATAGAAATTGAGAGTCTTGCATTCTGTTTTGTATTTCATTGTGTCTCGATATAAATATTTATTACATCAACACATGTAAATAAAATGGAAAAATTACTCTCCATATTTAGTTACCATGAATATTTAACCTTGGTCCAAATCTTCGTTTCTTCTGTCCTTCTTGCTATTCCAGGGATATAAATTAACTTTAGTATGATTCTCAGGTACAGATAATTAAAATAAAATATACATTCCCAGATCTGAGCATTGCTTCCTATTGGCCATGTTTTATATTTCCCTTCACCCCTAATACTACTTTTTTGTTTTTTGTTTTTTTTGTTTTTGTTTTGTTTTAAGATTTATTTGAGAGGTAGACAAAGAGAAAGGTCTTTAATCCACTGGTTCACTCCCCAAATGGCCACAATGGCCGGAGCTGAGCTGATTGGGAGCCAGGAGCTTCTTCCACGTCTCCCATGCAAGTGCAGGGCTCCAAGCATTTGGGCCATCTTCTACTGCTTTCCCAGGCCACAAGCAGAGAGCTGGATCAGAAGAGGAGCAGCTAGGACACAAACCAGCGCCCATTTGGGATTCCGGTGCTGCAGCTGGAGGCTTGGCCTGCTATGCCACAATGGTGGCCACTGGTACCATCAGTGTAAGTTGCTGTTAAATCTCAGAAAGCCTGAGGAAAGTGAAAGAATCACAACCTGGGGAGTGCTTAGTTCTGTACTTGTATAGAGAAGTAGTTGCATTCTGATGATTTATCTTTTATGGGTTTGGTTCTATGAAATCTTCCTTTTTAATGAAAATATTTTGCATGATAATCTAATAGCTGGACATAATAACACTACCTTAAATTACTTCTGGTGGAGAAGTAGGTGGCAGAGTAATGGTGGAGTAACCAATTGTCTTCAGAGAGGAACCTGCATTTTGAGACATCAAGAGAAACACAAAGGCTGCTTACAAGGAAATATCTAGTACAGTGGTCCTCAGCTGGAGAAATTTTGCTCCCCAGTGGACATTTGACAATGTCCAGAGAGTTTTTGTCACAACTCAAGGAGAGGAGGGCTCTTACTGTTGTGTAGTGGGAAAAGGCCCAGGATGCTCTAAGTCCCACAACACTGCACTGGACAACCCCACAACCAGGAGTTAACAAGCCTCACATGCTCAAAATCTGATCCAGTTTCTATAGTTTTGTCATTTTGTTGTTCAGGTTGGGATGATACTAGATGTGCAAGATTTGTGATAGGCTAACTTTAAATAAAGGAGTCAGGTTTGAATATTAATCTGTAGACCTTAGTTTAGAGATGAAAAGATACACATATTTTAACTAAATTGATATAAAGGGCCTCAAAAAGTTAATGTAAAATAGATTTAAAAATTATTTTGGTGCAAAATTTTTTTGAAATCCATGCACAGGTTTTTTTTGTTTTTTGTTTGTTTTTTAAGATTATGTCAGAATTACAGAGAGGAAGATGCTTTCCATCTGCTGGTCTACTCCCCAAATGACTGCATCTGCCAGGGCTGAGCCAGGCCAAAGCCAGGAGGCGGGAGCTTTTTCCAGGTCTCCCACATGAGTGCAGGGCCCCAAGCATTTGGGCCATCCTCTGCTGCTTTCCCAGGCTCATTAGCGGGAAGTTGGATCAGAAGCGGAGCAGTGGTGACTTGAACAGGTGCCTATATGGAATGCCAGTGCTGCAGACAGCGGTTTAACCCGCTGAGCCACAGTACTGGCCTCATTTATTTTTTTAATAATGCATATGCCTGAATTTCAAAAATTTTTTGCACTAAGGTAAACATCTTTTAATTCCATTTTCCATGAACATTAGTTCTTTTGTAGTTTTCATTCATGAGTTTTACTGGTTGTATTCACATTTGACCTTGGCATTTGGGCACCTACTGGTTTTCCAAAGTTTGTCAGCTTCTCTTAAGTTTATTTGAAAGAAAATGAACAAGTAATATGCTAAAAGAAATCTCATCCTTAAAACTATTAATTGTATAAACATTAAATGAGAATTTCATTCATCCTACAATGTAATTGTAATTGTCACAAGTCAACCACTTAGGTGTTCTTAAAAATTACCTTTAGAATGCTTGTATTTATTTTTGAGTTCTCTAAGAATAGTGACTAAATCATTGTTAAAGTTCTTCACCTCTTATTTTCAAGTAATTCATCTTGCGGTCTTTTGATTGATGTGGTTTCAACTTACTTTTTTTTCCCCAAACATTAATTGCAACCCAAATACATAATGAGAGTATGCCTCATAAAGAGATTTTGCTTGGCCTGGAGAAAGATGACTTTTCTGAAAAATAATGATAGGGAAATAAACCAGCTTATGTTAAGGTATATATGAGATGTAAATTCGTATGAGAAAATAGTCCTGAACTATCATTGACTTTGGAGTGTGAAGTGCAACACCAAATATAAAGAATTCAGGAGATAAACAGAAAATTTCTAGGCAAATAATCCATTGAATAATTTATGAGTTAACTTTGAGATTTTCCTGTACATGAATATGCTGAATATCAAGTTGCTTCTAAATAAGACTCTTATCAGAGGTAAAGGGCTGTCATGGTAAGACCATCCACAATGCTCATAGTATATCACTTGTGATACTTTTAATTAATGTAAAAGAATCATGGCTTCCCACTGGTGCTTTGGGTGCTGGAAGGGAAACGCAAAATTAGCAAATTTTGAGACGGGGATTTTTGTCAATTTAAAAGGAGAAGTAAGTATGATTGTACTACTCAGCTGCTGAACTGGTGACTATATCCAAGAATTCTGTTCTATTTTTAATCTACTGTGTTGCTGAGGAGATGAACTTAATACATGGCAATTAGGCCAGATGTAAAGAGACCTTTTCCAACCTGAATATTTTTTCAGATTTATTTATTTGAAAAGGAGAGTCACAGAAAAAGAGCATGAGAGAGAAATAGATATCTTCCATCCCCTGCTTCATTCCCCAAATTGGCTGCCCAGGCTGAAGCCGGAGCTAGGCACCAAGAGTTTCA